GATCCCACCTAAAGGAGGTGACGATGCAGTCGAAAGGTGGTACGAGCTAGCTTAATAGGTAGCTGTTTACTCTCCTTTTGAAGGCCCCCACTTCATATTTGGACGTGAAAACTGATGCCTGCAACATGTTCCAATCCTTTGCAGTGCGCACAAGGAACGATGAATAGTAGACTGCCAGAGTTATATAACTCAGTGGTGTAGCAAGTGTTAATACTATTTTGTGTATTTGTATCAAATTTCGTTAAGTTTGAGGATTGTGTCATCTTTCGCAATTTTATTAAAATTTGTTATTTCTTTAATTCTTTATAGGAAAAAATAGATAGAAAACCCGAAGGATATTATCTAAAAAAATCTACGTATTTCACGTACCTATTGAAGTAACCAGTTGGACATACGTCGGTTTTGTTAACGTATACAATGGAATCAGGCACAGCGAAGGTTGTGCCACTTCTGTTAATAGCTTCACAAGAGTAAGCTCCGCTGTCTTCGGGCTGAAAAATGTCTAGCGTTATAATTGGTTCTAAAAGATACGCGCTTAAAGAATGACACTGAGAGAATGCTAATGCTGAAAAAACCAATGTTCGTTTGCACTACGAGTGACAATCGTAGTGCAGCGATCCCAATTTCGATTTAGTTGCTATTGGTTGAACTAGAAGCGCATGTAACAACAGCATTTTCTTGACCGTCCGCAAATGCAGCTGAAGCACGTGATCGGTCGAGGAAACTTATGCCAATCTTTCACACAAGTCCAGAATAGTATGGCAGATCAAAACACAGGTACAGTATTAATGTTGTTTAAAACAGTTTTAAAACAGTATTGCTACGTGTGCATTTAAATGATATCAGTTTTGCACTGTCTACTACCTTATTGTTAGGTTTTCGTTTGGAAAGGTGTTAAGGTTGCAAGTGAACATGTCTCAGAAATTTACCTGCATGTTATTACAGGTGAGTGTTCCGACGCCATCGATGCTAGTGGAGGTACACTTGGGAGGCACGTGGCCCCAGTTGAGTCGCCAGGAGATGAGCGGCATGGGCACGCCCACCGCCTCGCACACCAACACCAAGCTCTCTCCAGGGTTCAGTCTCACGTTCGCAGGCGCAGGGGGTCTCTTCACGTGCACCGGAGCTGATCAAATACGATTATTTTGTAGATATGTAACATGTCGAGGGATGACACTTTTTACATTTTTGTAGAATTTCTTTCTTTAGATTAATCTGGAAGGATATCTAACTATGGTCTTGATTTAAATGTTCAGAAAAGTATTGCGTCTTTTAGTATTAAGTATATCGCCTTTAATAAGGCATCAAGAACATACCACAGCCAATTTCGTCGGTGCCGTCTAGGCAGTCGACGTGACCATCGCAATGGTAAGACTTCGGTATACACTGCAGGTTTCCGCAAGAGAACTCAACAGCGGAGCACGCTTGACCGGGCTGAGGGTGACAATCGCGTTCGTCCGACCCATCGCCGCAATCGTCCTCGGAGTCACATAACCATGTCTTCAACACACACTTCCTGTTGTCGCATTCGTACTGGTTCGGTTCACACTGGCCGTTCAGATCTGGAATTGTTATTACAGTTAAAATAGTTAGTATAAAGGAATATTTTTATAGGATTGGTACCTACTGCAATAAGGTTGATATGAGATTTAAAAAAAGGACACAAGTAAAATGAGATCTTTCTAGCATTTACCATTAGTTGCGGAACATTGCAACGCTTGCTCATCTTCCATATTACAATACAAAAATGTGATAAAAATAACTTACTGCAGGAATCTTCGTCCGATTTATCATCGCAGTCGGGTTTTCCGTCACACAACACAGATTTCGGAATGCATTGACCGTTGCCGCAAGTAGCCTCAGAGAAATTGCACGGCTTGTAAGGTAATCTTGGTACTTGAGCTATAAGGTACATTTAAAAAAATATTAATTATTAGTGGTCGACTTAACTTAGGTTTTAAAAAGTTTCGGCCATAAATCGTTTTAATAGTTAAGGCCTTGACTTCGATTTCGGCCCCACCGAAATTGAAGTGTTTGTGAAGTCTCGTGCGTCGTACAGTAAACGGGATGTGTTGGTCTGCGAGGACTTGAGGGGCAACCTTCGTCACCGCAGACGAGGTGAAGTCAGGAAGGAAGATCAGTGGTATAGTAATACGCCACTCTCTCGATCCTCCGCGATTAAGTGCGGTGGCAGGGCTAATAATGGGACGCGGTTGGGCTGTGGGGGATTTTTTCACTCTACTACTCTGAAGCCGTTGAAGTTGGCGGCGGTGCCTAAGACCAGATCCGCAGTTGGCGACCGTTTTTCTAGCATCAATGGTCCTAAGGTGGCGGATTCGAGGGTACCCGTCACCTGTGAGTAAAGGTAAGTAAAGGGGCTGCGATTTGTTCGTAAGCGTTTCCGCAGCCCCGCAAAGATGCGTGTGACGAACTGTGAGGTTTTTAGTAAGAGTCCGGCAAAATCCGCTCTTGGCCCGCAAGAACGGATTTGCGTAGGCATTTTGCTCACATAAGTCAAAATGGCGGAGTGTTTTTAACCATATTTTGGAAAAAGAAATAGTGTATAAACATTCATTACAGCGTGTCAACTTTGGAGAAAAAGACGTTACATTTAAAGGAAATATTTAAATATTACTTTCTCTATTACTCTCGTCTGAGTAAGCAATAAGCCTTCCGATACGAAAGTCTAACAATACGGTGTCCTAGGTAAACTCAGTTTTTTCAAAGTGAAATAAAATAACTGTATCGGTTGAAATTCGAGTAATACAAAAGTAGTAAATAAATAATGTTTTCTTATACTCACGTGTGTTTTCAACTATCAAGGAGACTCGCGTTTCCGAGCCAGGATATCCCAAATATCTGGTTGCTTGACAAATATAGTTTCCACTGTCCTGTACCTGAATACATAAAAAAAATAATAATATAAAAATCCAGAATGTAATATATATCTGTTATTGTTTTATTTAAACGGTGACATACATTTATAACTACGTAGATCCATATATCTAAGCTTTCACATTTATAATGTTAACGATTTACTTGTCTTTATTTCACTTAGGGTCGTGTAAGTTATGGACTAAAAAATAGTGTTCTTTAACAGTATACAATGCTTACCGATACTTTGGTCATTTCCAAACGACCTTTGCGGTCAACAGAACCGGGTTTGAGAGGCCTACCGCCATCCTTGATCCAACGAACAGCAGCACGCAAGGGACCTTCATCTCGGCATTGGAAGACCACGTCCCCACCTATAGAAGATACCATTTTAAAATTTCTCTTCGAAAAGATATATGTAAAGTCCCTCGGATGCACCAGCATTCTATTACAAGAAAAATATAACCCACTAATTAATTATCTATCCAGGGCCGTCTTAAACCGCCGTACGGACACATCCAAGGCCAAGCGTTAACACTTACAGGGCGCCGGCTAAGGTACGTACCTACACTATTGGGGGCGACTGATTTTCGCAGCCAGCCTCCAATGTGGTTAAGACGGCCTTGTTTTTTAACCCAAATGTGCCATGAGAATTTACGTTTTTATTTAAACATATGACGTTTTCTTATATTCCATTATTAAATGCAATTGAAACGATGTGAATCTAAATGTTTAGTTGTATAATTTAAAATATCTGTGAAAAAATAATGCTACATAAAAATGATTGTGAGTATTTTTTTTAATATTTCGTAATAGTAAAAATATTAAATAACAATTTGGGTGTTTAATGAAATTATTAATAAAACATATTTATCATAAATAAAACCATTAAAACACGTTGAATTTAATACTTATTAATTTGAAACTGTTCGTTAATAATTTAACTATTAATAATAAATACCTTTCAGTTCTTTACAATAACCCAAAGTCATGCGATGAACGGTATATTATTAATTATGTGGTTTTATATCATACGATCTGTAACTGTTCTAATGATCGGCCGATTACTGAAACGAATCTTATAGTTTGTTCCATAAGCGCCATTTACAATCTAAAAGAAGTCATAATTGTAATGGAAGAGAAGCGTGGCCATGGCCATTATGGCGACATTGCATATTAAAATGTCATTTCAGATTATGAACTAAGGTTTTGACAATTCCATATGAGTTTCCATTGCCCACGTGTATAACACATATTGTCAAAAAACATGCAACTATAGCCAAGTGTATATCGACATTCGAAATTGGAACGTTTTATTTTCATTGTGTATCTACATGTAGACAAACAAGGATATTTATGCAAGTGAGAGGCGCTGCTAATGGTTGGTTCTGACAAACGATATATAAAATATAAATGTAAATAGAAAATAGCGTAAAAAAAACAGGACGACAGTTACGGTAGAGGGAGCCAGTGAGCTAACATAATTCAGCTTACCGGGTCAGATAACTTGTCGGTCTATATTTTATTAGAACAATTACAGATTAATAATAACTTATAGTATGACAGAAGATAAACAAAAAAATACGAGTATAGAAGATCGATGTTATATGAAATGTAAATCCAATTTAAATGCACCCAAATATTTTTTACACTCGAACTCACCAGTGAAGACTGAACCACCACCATGGAAGAAATAATTTTAATTAATAATCAAAAAAATAATAATAAAATATCTTATTTGATTTCTATTTTGTAGTATACCTAGAAATGTCCGCTGTCCTCCACCAAATACAAGATTAAAAAAATACATTGGTTTAAAAGATATTTCTGTTTCAATTAAAACAAAATGTCGCAAATAACGTTCTCATCGGTAAGAAAACCTTATTATATAATCTATATATTACACTCGAAAACAAGCAATCCTATTGCAGTCATACATTTTAGTAAAAAACCTAAATGTTTAAAGTAACTCGAGCGTCTCAAGTCTCAAGGACCAATTGTAACTTTTACCTTAAACATAAAACATAGATTACTTACCGTTTCGTACTGTTTGAGACGAGGGGTATGTCTTCAAATTCAAAGCGGTGTAATCTCGTCCTAGAAAGACAAATGATTTGGTTTATTAAATCCAGATAAAAACAAGTACAGTATCCACAAATTTATCATAATCGTTAGCAAACCGCCTCACCTGATTTTCCGAGATTAAATATTATTTTAAAATAAAAAATTTAATTTTATTGCACATTAAGCGATAAATGTTAGTAATCATATTGAAACTGGAATGCTTATTATTTAATAATAAATTAGATCGTTAAACATTTACTAGGAACTTTTTCTTCAATTACAATTAAAAGGAAACATTTTTTTTCAATATCCAATCTTCTATGCTTAGTAGATGATAGGTTTTATTCAAAAGAAGAGATATATTTCATGCTGTTAATAAAGAAATTGTTAATAATGTGTGTGTTTAATCGTATTAAGTCAATTTATCGCTTTTAATTAGTAGACTATTTAATCAGTTTATATGTGAATTTTAATTGAAGCATTGATATTTGTTGTTTGGTCTTACTGTCGGAGGGACAGTCTAGCTCGTCGCTGCTGTCGCGGGGACAGTCGATGCGACCGTCGCAACGTCGTCGCGATTCAATGCAAGGGCCATTTTCGCAGCGCCATTCATTCGAGGCGCACCCATCTATTCAAAATTTTGCACACCCATGATAAGCCAATTTGTAACTTAACGTAAACTCGGACTTAAAAAAAGTTTTAAGTCAACTAAACAACTCGACCTTACATCATTGAGTATTTTAACACAACAGTACTTAAAAACTAACTAAGAATTAAGAAAAAAAAAATAGTACCTGTATTAGGGAGGCCGCGTGGTCCGGTGGTTGTATACAAATTAGGTAGACGAGTGGATATATCGCGGATGGTGTCTTGTGTGGTTGGTGCGACTGTGGGTGTTGGGACTAAGACGATGGGGGGACGTGTGAAGGGGATGGGAGGCAACGTTGTAGAAACGCAGTCTTGCTCGTCGGATGTGTCCGTGCAGTCCAACAAACCGTCGCAGCGCGCTTGTATCGGAACACACTGGCCAGTTATGCATTGCCATTCGTTTTCTTTGCAAGCTAAAAATATAATATAACTATTAATAAGTATTCTAATATAATTAATTGATTTTTAAAATAAAGTACTCTTGCAAATAAAATTCAGATATGTTATACAGTCTGCTGTAAAAACGTGAATTCAACATAGAAGAAAACGTATTTGGTAACTAAAACCCATTCATATATAAATTTGTATAATATAATAATAATACTTAGAAACGAATAGTATGATTTAAAAGGTCCTGACAAATTATCAGAAAAATATTAATGCTTCTTTCGTGACTTAAATTCCCATTGTTTGAACTCTGAAGAAAATAACAAAATATTTAACTTAGTATTTAGACATCAAATCACCTTCTAATCATATTTCTTGCCAACATTATTAAACTGTTCTGAACACATGAGAAGTTTAGGTCACTAAATTTGTAAAATATGTAAGCTATATTTAGGAAATAAATAACAAAATAATCATCACACTGCACTAAAATGGCGCTGTTTCAAAAAAATCCTATTTAAAACTACCTAAAACGAATCATGCGAAATAACTAAATCTATTGCAATACTATTGGGTCTAAAAAAGCTAAAGAAAACGTTTCTAAATAATGAGAATCATTTTAATGATACGAAATGCTCACTAGTTATTAAAACTCTTATACTCAAATCACTACCAATCTCGTACCACACAACCATCAACTAACTTATAAAAAAAAACACTGATTAAAACGAGCAACCGAATCGATTAACGGAACGAGCTTATCGAGAAAAATAAACATGATTATGTTCGGGGATAATAAAGGGCATGGTTGAACACGCAAACATTACATTCAAGTGTTAAAAGGGTATATTGTACCAGAGTGGTAACATTTTTGCTCGTCGGAGAAGTCTGAGCAATCGTAAATATTGTCACATCGGCGTATGTGTGGTATGCATCGGCCGTCGTAACACGTGAATTCAGATTCATGGCACGGCGGCGACGCAAGGGTTGGCTGCTCCACCGCCCACGCTGTACATTAGCTACGTTTCAATACTCTATCGTAACAACTTACATTTATTTATATACTCCTTGATTTTAATTACTATTATTTAAACGAATATAAATACTGGTTATAATACAGTACGTTGATTTTCTATCCTATATACATTAATTGCATGTGTTGTAATGTGTAAAAGAAATAAGAAAGTGATCTAAATATGTGAATATATCGTGTTACAATTTTTAAGCAATTGAAAAATTATAAATCAAATTAATTTTAATCTATAATTTCAGTGTAAAGTGAAAATAGTTGTGCGTTAATTGGCGAAGCATCGTGAAGTGCAAGTTTTTTTTTTATTGTAAGCTTTCATTGTTTTTTTGGCAGTGTGAAGCGCATTTGTGCACTGTGCTTGACTTAACAATTTACATCTCATATACTAAAGTGTATACCTAATTTCTTTAACCACAAACAATCAATACATAGTAAAATATCGTAATATCCCGAATTTTTAGGACAGACATCAATCAGATATTTACACAAAAAAAATATTGTGATCATAAAACATATTCTGAATAATCGATATTCGTTAGAAAAGTTTCATCGAAGTATGATTTTTATTATGAAAAAGGAATTAAATCCAATAGTTTACTGAAACTTACGGCAGTTGTCTTCGTCGGAATTGTCAAAGCAGTCATAGTGTCCGTCGCACGAGAATTGGATGTCGATACAAGTACCGTCCTGGCAGCGGAACTGGTTGTCGTTGCACTCATCTGTACACAAAAGTTTCACATATTATATTAAAATTTTATTTAAATATTGAATTGAATACTAAAAATACACCCCAAAAATAAATGAAAGATACTGTATAATAAAGGGATAGTAGGTACCTGTTGATGGCAAGGTGTTATTGCAATTCTTCTCGTCGCTGGAGTCAGGACAGTCGTTGAGGCCGTTGCAACGGTGGATGATATTTATACATTCGCCGTTCGCACATCTACGACAAACCAACGATTTAGTATACGATAGATTCACACACTTAAGACGCAAGTTGAGACCAACGCACAGCAATATCAGACGCAATGCTATACAAACTCGCAAGTTAAATATCATTTAAAAATAAATAGACACAGCATTTAAGCACAGCTGAAGCCGTTGCGTTACCTGAAGTCTTCGAGGCTATCGCACGTTGGACACGAAAGTTCGTCAGACGCATCGCTACAATCCGGTACACCGTTGCAAATGAGATGATCCTCTAAGCACCGACCGTCGCACCCGTGGCTGCATTCTTAAAAGAAATACGAGTAAGTCGTCAATTTATACGGAATATTTAATTTGATAGATACTTACTACCAAATTTGTTAATTATATAGTATTTCTTGCAAGAAAGTAATTAGGAACATGAAAATACCAAAATCATTTGAACATGTTAATTTCGCAATATGTTTTATAAGTGCAGCGAGCGCATCATTTGTTTTATTTCAGTTTTCACAACAACCAATCGCATTGCTTTAAAACATTAAAAGAAAAAATTGATCTAAAATTACACATTTGAAAGTCTTATAGCGAAAGGACAAAATACAAAATAAAAAATGCGCAGCGCTATTACATAAGATTTACACTATTTTAATAATGTTCAATTATCGTAATAAGACAATTATCGTAAGTTCATACATACTGGTACAATAATTATACGACTTTTTCGCTTAAAGTTATACAAATTAAAACCAGTTTAATAAATAGATATCTAGATATGTTTGCAAATTATTTCAAAATAATTATGAAGATGAAGTTTTTGAAATGAAATACGAAATTATAATCAAAACGTATTATTGAAGTATTCAATCAAATTGTACACATATAGAATACCATAATAGATAATGTTACGAGGATGTGATTTGTATTTACCCGTGCATTCAAGTTCGTCTTCGCCGTTGTCGCACTCCTGTCTACCGTCGCAGCGGCGTGCGCACCCCGGTCTCGAGTCTACAGTACATGCGAAGCTGTCAGCCGGACAACTTGGTTCACCTGAACAACAGTATGAATATTAATTTTAAAGTAAAATCAAATTTGAATTCTAGTTATAAATCAATAGGTTCGGTGGGACGTGTTCTGATCTTTGATTTCATTACTTCTTCAGTGTAATCTACTGATTCACCTATTTCAACCAACTTATTAACAATTGTAGAAATCAGTGAGTTATTTAAGAAGTCTTAACATGTCGTATAAAATTCATAGAAGTCGCTGTCATAGTAAGATTATAAAGGAAAAGTTATCGTAAAATTTCAGAACTCCAAATTAAAAGAAGGTTAACCACAACTAACTACTAACCAAAACACAAAAACAAAAAATTAGGGATAAAGTCAACCACAAAAACATAAAGAAGTTGAAAACATGAAAATTCACGTAATTATGAAAAATACAAAATCAAAGAGAGGACGAAATAAATAATGTACGAAACCATAAAATGAAAAAAAAAACGAGTGATGTAATTCGAAATAAAGCAATAACAACCACAATGTTACTTCAAACCAAATAAAATGATTGCAACGGTTCCTTTATAAAATTAACAGAAAGCCTGTAAACTTTCTCGTTTAGAGAAAATTTCTCCCATCAGATCGCATCAAATATTGTGCAATGAAATCAAACAATTTCATTGATATTAGATTCATTTTCTTGTACAGCTACAGTACTCCAGTTTATTTATCCAATTTGATATTCTTATGATTACTCACACAATTGTTATAACTGAGGAAATGTATTCACATTCAAAATGCATTAGGTACCAATGTTAATCTCCAAATAAACAAGTTCATGCAAAGTATAGCTGCTACATAATGACTAATGGTTACAATACAAATTTTAAGGATGGCCAACATTAGGGATGTTATCTTTAAAGTACCTACGATTAGCAATACGGTAAATTAATTTACATTAATACCAAAGTACTACGATAGTTCAACAGAGAATTAAGAACCAAGAGATTGCTCCACACTTTCGAAGGCGCTTTACTCACCGCAGTTATATTCGTCTTCCCCATTTGGACAATCTTTCCGACCATTACATCGCAATGCGATATTAATACAAGTACCATCGCGACATTCAATCTCGTCCCTTTTGCAAGGGCAGTTTCTTTCGTCTGAACCATCGTTGCACTCCTTTGTTCCGTTGCACCAGGATTCAGCTTTCACGCACTGTCCGCTCGAGCATTTATATTCATAAGCCATGCATATTGTGCCTGCCATAATAATATATATTGCACAAACCGTAACCAAAATATTTACAAGTTAGGTTTTATGCAAAATGCAAAAATAATATTAGTAAAAAAAGTTTATCATATTCGTTGCCATTTTGATAACAATTGATTCATAAAATCATATTTATCCACTTTTAACGATAGATTTATTTTTTGTTGTTAATATTAAAATAACCAAATGAAGCTTTATATGCAGTTAAAGAAGTAATGGATAATAAGAGCTTTGTTGCTCAGCTTTACAACCAAATACAAATTAGACTTGCGATGTAAATAAAACGTGTTCGATAAAAATTTTGATGGAATTAAATAAATCAAACCATAAATGCAACCGCGTTCATCAGAACGATCCTGACAGTCATGCGTTCTGTCACAGTGTTTGGATGCAGGGATGCAGTATCCATTGTCACATTTGAAGTCGTCGACACCACATGCTGACCGGTAAAAGAAAATACTAAGTACACAACTTTTTATATAATAACAGGAAAAACTGAGTCATTGGAACGACTACAAAATACTTATGGTAATAGCAGAGAGACAGAAAACAGTGCAGAGAATTGAAACAGACTAATGCTTAACTTCTAAAAGCTGGCGATTGTGCAATGCTATACGAAGGAAGACGTATGAAGTCAATTGCAGATAAAAGTATAGAAACAAGAAATATGAAACGTAACGAGATTAACGTAAGAAGAAACAAAACTACAAAGGCGATTGAAAAGTAGAAAGAGATTTAAGAATCTGAACGGAAGGCTTCTGTGAATTGATAAACTTACGACAATTTTGTTCATCAGAATAGTCGCCCGGGTCGCAATCGTACTTGCGATTGCATCTCATACTCTGTGCTAAAATCTTCCCATTTCTGCATCTAAAGTATTCAATCGCTGGAAATATATGCAAAGCATTGTAATAACTGTTATGATTGTAATGGTTTACATGCTATGCTTTACCCATTTAATCGGTAATCGTTTATAATCGACATGTATTTCGTTAGCGTAATGTATCTTGAAATAAAATGCATTAATTTTAAGGCGTACTAGAGTTCATTTTATCTAGTATTTATTAAGAATTGTTTTAAAACGTGACAGAACATAAGCATCTTACCGAAGCAATTCCTTTCATCGGATCTATCAGTAGGACAGTCGACCCGGCCGTCGCAGCGTTTGTTGCGCTTGATACATGTCCCAAAATCACATTGCCAGAAATCCGGTCCGCATGCTTGTTATACGTAACAATTATTTGAAAATATACTTACTGTATGTACATTTAGACTTATTGTTTGATTTCATATTTGCTTAAAGCCCATGATATAAACGAAAACTAACAACTATTTTTAGGTAAAGACAAGAATATTAGGTTTTATTCAAAGGAATTATTAAAACACACATCACAATAACTACGAGTATATTTTGTCAACTATGACATGCTTCGAATGGTTGAGCTCCTCTTGTAAGCGTAAATTCTATCTGTAACTTAAGCTCTCAATAAAATCTCCTGGGTGTATATAAACACAACTTTAAGCTCATATAAAATCACGTGGAGAAATAAATATACATACGACAGTCGATTTCGTCGCTGCCATCTTTGACGCAGTCTCTGAAGCCATCGCACCGGAGTAGAATCGAAATGCAACTACCGTCTTTGCAGAGGAACCTTCCACTGCTGTGGCAAACATGCTCACCTGTCCAGCTGATTTTACGAGAGACTTACCGATCCAAATAGTAAAGCATGTGCAAAGACACATTTTAATGGCGTTAAAGCTTGTCTTATTGTCTTGCATGATTTTGAAAATAGTGATGATGCTTACCGCAATTATTTTCATCCGAGTTGTCGCTGCAATGCGCGACGCCGTCGCATCGCTTTCTGCTCTCGATACAGAAACCGTCCGATTGGCAGCGGAACTCCTCCGGCCGACATTCTATATGCCAATTACGTTTTTAATAAGCTTTGTATCAGATTAAAATGAAAACGAATAGGTAATATTAGATTTTTTCCAGTATAAGCAACTCAGTATACATATTTTTATAAATATTGACGCCACAGTTTATAAAACAAACGTGAAAAGCATGAGTTGCGCGTGCAAAGTGGCCTAATTAATTATTATAAATGTTTATGTCGATGTACCCTACAAAAAACTTACCGCAATTCTGTTCGTCATCTTGGTCTCTGCAATCAGCAACGCGATCACAAACCCTTGCACTTTCGATACATCGCCCATCATGACAACGGAAGTCATCAGCACCACATGTTTCTATAACAAAACAAATGCCAACATGAAACATGAACTATAATTAATTAACTAAATTACACAAGCTAAAACATAATATAATATAGCTGGAACGATAATATAAAAACACACGTAGATTTTTATATATACAACACATTTTATATATGATATATAAATACAGAATATTCTCGTTACCATTCCGGTGTATTGCTTATCACTTAGTTAACTTCTTAACAGCGACATCTGTGTTTTGGACGAATAAATGTAAACACGTTTTAACGATAGAAGAGGTAAAAATTTTACATATGCAACCGCTAGAGGGTGCTGTACTTATATTTCACTGTTTTCTCCGAATTCGTCAAAATAAATATGAAATAGGCAGTAGTTACTTTGTTAGTGAACCTATAATCCAAGTAACTAAAATGAGCCAGGCAACACAATGAATTTTGACCACATTCGACCATATCACTATTAGACTAGATGTCTAAGGAGGTGGAGATAAAATATTATCTCTTGCTAACCTTATACTGTTAGTGTACAAAATCTCAAAGGTTTAATTTTTATTTATATTATATCTTATATAAATTTACGCATTAATTGAGACAGTTGTAATGCTCCTGGATTTGTATAATTAATAATAAAGAACGTGTGAATATAAACTCTGATAGCAGATAACATCAATGCTATATTTTGAAGATGCGAACTATGATAATTCGACGCTACACCGGGATCACGTAAAACACATTCAAACAAGTTCTCGTTATCCGACAATAAAGGAGAAGAAAAAAAGTGGCTTTTCACGCCGATTTTCCTAACACTTTATCCTGGGCATAAACATTTTCTGAAACACCTTCGCAATATTTAAAATTCAGGTGTCGCGGAGTCTACGTGATATACTTATCGTGGTTATACTAAATAGGTAAACGTTAAGTTTCAGAGTGCGAGCATACAGTACAGCAGAAACTTTGAGATAATCTTTTTCACCGTAAAAAAGTTTTTCAGTTATCGATTCAATATTTTTAGTTTTGCGTCACAAATTTATCGGTTTCTTTTACTCTGTCGTTTCGGCCTAGGCAGGACTTAACCTGACTTTTAATGTGTTTAAAATAGAACAAAATCAAACAGTTTACATTTTAGTTACATCTAGAATTGCGAACGAAGGCGAGAAGATTGATGTGATTTATTTAAGTAAATGCCGTCAGCATCGGTTTATAATTTACATCGTGGGTGTTATCATGGTCGACAAGTGACTTATATTATTACGTACATTACTACTAAGATCTTTAAAAATGTGTAATTCATTCGCCTTTTGTTTAATACTGTTTTTTCTGATTTATTAACCAAGGTATTTCTGTAATTCTTAAACTGGTCGGTATAAACACACGTCTATATCAGTTGTGGCAAGTTGTGTAGATTTAGTTTTTAATAAACTTACTACGAAGGCACTTTTATTTTTCCCAGTAGTCTACAGTATTCCAAAAAATTAGGGATTAAATTCATTTAAGTATTTATAAGAAAAGAAGTTCATTGAAAATTACTGCGGTATATACCGTAGCGCTCTTCAACTAACCCTCAAATAGGGGAACATACATACATAAAATAAGAAAAAGAAAGTACATATTACACTTAGTAACAATTAGAAAACTTAAAGTAAATCAAAGAAAAAAAAAACGGTTTTAGATTTTATGATTCTCTACTCACTACTCTCGTTATTACAAGGACCTCATCGACGCATTCGACAAAACTAGTTACATTCCATATCAGATGTTTATGAAACGAATTGTTTCCGGGAAAGACTTACACATTAAAAACTTAATTCCACATTTAAAATTGAACTTTAACTTAAAATTAAAGTGTTAGCTAGCGAAAAATCTCGTCAGCAGATAGACTGTCTAGGTCACATTTGCGATTATTTCGGGACGTTCATTAATGAGTTCAGGTATAGGAAACTATAAATAGCCTTATTATTAAATGAAGTATGAAGGTAATTTGCAATTTATATCACGAAATTATACAAATGTACATTTACTTTACAGAACTTTAGATTACTGTATTGCTTTGAATTCTGACCTCCTGCTGCCTTGGCTTAAATGATTTTGAATAGTAAGTTGTTATTCCGAGAGTGTTACAGCCTTTACAACTATAGTACAGTTGTCATTATACTGATAATATTATTCCTTGATTTGATAAAGAAATAATATCATAATTTATATATCTTAATATTTGAATAGCTACTTTTTACTTAAAAGAGTTACATCAGCGAAGCTTCTTTCGCGGCCCGAACTCCGAAAGCTTTTAATAAACATTGTTATATGACGAGAATACGCTAGCCTACAAAATCTAATTTATACGCGTTCTTCCACATAAATTCGACGTGCATTTTTGTCGAATCCTATACAAGACTGCATATTTTGTAATTATTCGAAAAGATCTATGATTATTGAGTATGCATGCAAATTTCTATAGTTTTACTTCGACGTCCTACGTAGCGATTTATTTTTTAAATATTCATAAGCACAATACCTACATATATCAATGAAATACCAACATTGAGAGATAATCATTACTAAGTTTTAACCACAAAATAATACTTAAACATTTTATAGACGTAACGTAATAAACATTTAAAAAATTAGAATAAAGAAAATAGCATCAAGAGATTGATACGAATGTTAAAAGTCTGTTGCCACGTCATGTAATATAGACAAAATAAGGTTGGTAAATAAATTAAGCTTGGTAATAAGTTGGCTGCACCAGGTACAGGGTGGCCCTTATTACCGAATTGTCCCCGCTACTTCGTGACATGACCACTGCTAAGTTGCGAAGCACTTCCAGTTAACTGGGACAGTCAGCCCGAAGTTACCACGATTGATTATTTCTTTACTACCAATTGCGCCTTTTAATTATAGAAAACTAGTGTGGATTTTAAAATAGAAAGTAGTCTATGAGTTCTTCATGACTATCATCTACATCTATGGCTTAAAAATGTTAAAAAATTAAATATTTTACACTTTTAATAAAAACTTTTTGCTTGTGCTTTATGTTCATATAAAGTATGAACGAATTATGAAGATTGATTTTGCGTGTTACGTTTTTTGTAGTCGTTAAAATATGTCTAGTTGGAAAAAAACGTATTTAAGAATAGCATAAAAAGACTTTTCAGGGTACTATTTGAACCACAGACACGCGATACTTTTTGTCATAGCTATGATAAGTTTCGTTGAACTTTTCAACTTCGTTGGAGGACTGGGGCAAACATCTTTTTAACTTTATGTAAAATGAAATATATACATTTACTTTTTCGACTTTTTCTTGATTGTAAGATATAAAACCTTATAACAATCAAGGAAAAAAAAGTATTTTTCACGAGAATAGCTGGTTTGTCGAATTATCCGCTAAAGTATTGGATTGCATTCAGCCTTATCTAGAAATATATGATGGTCTCGTAATTATTTCGTGCGTCCTCTGTTATTATTTTGTACAGAAATGTCTAAATTACAAATGACATAAGCATACTCTTTGTATTACTGTGCTCGACTCTAAGAAGTTGCTTTGTATTTTTTCTACATATTAGTATTCCGGCCGCAAAATCGCTGTCACCTGTATGAGCAATGTGCAGCCAGATCTCAAGCCTGCGTTGATTTACAGCACGTTTTGCATATTAGCGATCCGAATGCCGTGGCATTCCTTGATACAACACATTTAATTTATCTATCATTTTTACTAGTTTAGCTATTTAGTCAAAATTCATATGTAACACTTAAAACGCTAAATAAAAAGAAACTGTAACTAAAATGTAATAAAAATGTAAGGGTCGCCAAACACGGACCTATTAAAGCTGTTGGCATTTTGACGTTTTCCATACACAGGTCGCAGTTTGTAGTTAGGGTTCTAAAAAGTCCGCGTATAGGGGCCCTCACTCGCATCGAAATTAATAACTTGCGAATTAACAAAATGTAACATTAATTAAATGTTAAAAATACATTGGTGAATATTATTTTTGGATGGCCAATAGGTGTATTAAGAAATTAATTTTAATTTTATCTAAAAAGAAAAACACATTCCTTTATATTTATTAAATCTATAAGTAAAGATGTAGATTTATTTTTTGCTTAAGTTCATTCGAACCTATAATTAAGTTCTCAAATGAATAGCGCAGTTCAAAATCCGGTTGTGCATTGTATGGCTCACAATTGACTACATACTTCTTACGTACTCCGAAGTCGCATCGACGCAGCGAGCTCTCATTGTTTGGTGGACAACAAAAAATATCACTTGAATTATAATCATCCTATGGGTAAACGACCTGTGTAACAACTAGTCAAATACCAGCGCTCTATTTAAATTTTTATAAAATACAACACGTCAAAGAGACGGGGTCTTAATAAATCCGTTGGGGACCGCGATATTTGTATATCGTTTGTGGAGACAGCCTAACAATGGCGATTGATTTAATATGCAAAACAACCCCTTATTAAACTCAGATTCGAAAACAGATATGAAAAAGTTATCTATACTATTATAATAAACCATAAACACAGACTACATTGTGTCGTAAGATGTCAGCAATCATAGTATATTTTTGAATAATTATTTCTTTAATAAAAAGCCCTACACTTACATCACGGTTTCGGCTATATAATTTCACTTTAACTACTACCCCCTAGGTAAGTAAATTGGATAAAAACCATATAAGCTGCCAACATCAAGGAAGTATGATTGCCATAGTTTGTCGTCATGTCATGTCATTTTGACATTTGCAATTGATAGTTTGACAAATGTGGAGGGCAGTAGTCTCCTTCTGCGAATCAACGATGTCTCAGAAAGAAGCTGCTGAGCGGTCGCGGGAAAGATCCGATCCCAATAGGCGACGACGCCATCGTGGGGCTGCGCCGCCTGCCGGCCCGCTCAATAATGATGGTCCCCCTCCTTAGGGGTCTATTTCTGGTTGCAAGTTAATTATATGGGACCCTGGGCAACCCGGAGAAGGGAAATAAAAAAATTCACGCTTAAGGGGACATGGT